TCACACCTCAGAAAGATGACACGTGACGACTGTGCCTACACTGGCAGTCAAGAGAGGATCCATTTTAGTGTGAGCTGGCTCCCCAGCTTTGCTCAGGACCAGTTCAAACAGCTCTCCCCAAAAGAAACTGCACATGAAGCACACCTGAAGCAGCAGCAGCAGCATGGCCAGTGTGCACTGTCCATCCTTGGAGACAACCTCCAGCCCAACCCTACAGCAATGTGCACATGGCCAGGAAAGTGATGTAAGACTCACACTTCACTCTGCCTCACCTCGACCTTTGGCTGGTGATTCTGTCTTCCATACAACAGTCCTCAAAATAATTCAGTAGTGCAATAATTAGACTTGTTCTTGTTATTACCTCCGGTCAATTAGTGATCTACCCGTGAAGGGACTTGCCAGCTGCCACGTGCACCTTGCACTGCAGCTCCCTGGCCCATGCTGTACTCGTACCAATGTCCTTTCCACTGATACTGTCCATTGCTGGCAGCATTTGTATCTCTGACAGTATGATATACAATGCTGTCCTATTCCTAAGGAGCTTACAAAATAAATAATGCAGATTAAGATACAGAATACAGATACTGAGGGGTCAAATAGGGCCTAGGAAGACAAGAGCACAGGATCCTAAGTAGGAAAAAAACCTTTTGACACAGAAAGAGAAAAAAGCAATTGGCGTCTAAGAACCTGAAGGTTATTTATAAGCACAGCAAGAAACAGATATGGTGCAAGTATGAAGAAATATTAAAATAGAGCAAGCCCCAAGGAACATTAAAAACTGTACTGGAGCAGCAGACTCTGGTCACATCTGTTCTCCTAAGGAATTGGCTGAACCATCCCTCGGTCCAAAGGACATGTGAAACAGACCCGCTGGCACCCACACGGTGCTGGGCCTGCTGCTTCTCTCTATGCCAGCACATCTGCCTGGGAGAGACGCGTCTGGAGTCAGAGCCAGGAGCAAGCCAAGAGTCAGCTTGAACCACAAAATGGTCAGTGCTCAAGCTGTGCCCTGGCTGTGTCCTTCAGCAGCAGAGGTGAAGGAAAGGTAGCAGATGTAGGGTAGGAAGGGGTTGGTGCTGGAGAGGAATACCTGTGTTTGAAAGGAAAAGGAGAACGACTGAAGTTAAACTGGAGAGGCAGGGAGGGACCATATCTTAAATTAGGTGAGGAGAATACATGATCAGACTAAGAGAAAGAAAAGGTGAATGGCACGAATGACCCTTGCCATCCTGCAGGCAAAAAGTTAGAAGAATTACCTCAACGGCAAAGTAGCAAACAAATGGGTTTTACCTTATTTAATTAGGAGAAAATGTTACCACCTGATCAGATTATCTCTGATACCCCACAAAGACTTCATGAAAACAACTAAGCACACCTATCTACTGCAAAACTATCATCAAACAAGTGTCTAAAACATAAAAACACCCAGGAAAGAGTGGACTTTGCTTTAATGCATGTGATAAATGCCAGATTACCCATGTGAAATCAACAGAAATCTTAGGAAACAGAAGCAGAGACAACTGAAAGCCAGTATTCCAGCCCTTCCCCAACTTCATGCCATTTCCCTGTCCAATCATTCTCTTTTCCTCAGCTCTGTGAATTCCTACAAATCTGAATTCTTCAACTTTAAAAATACAAGATGACAGCTTCACATTTTGTGTAGCTTTCACTAATCTAAAAAAGAAGCATAAATGGAACGAAGTACAGCAAACTCTGACAAAGGACTTCATTGAAGTTTTAAGATATCAAGGCAGATAGTTTTTAAAAAGTGTAATTATAAGGCTTATGGAAGTTTGGGGGTTCTTTTGGAGGTATAAATGTTAAGCCACTTTAACTGTTGTTTTTAAGTGGGTTCCAGAAGACTTGCATATTGGGACACTCGGGTTGTGAAACACAAGCAGTCTTAATTACAAAATAGGCATTCTTGTCAGCCACTTCGTAAGGGGAGGGGCAATTCAATTTAGATGTAAAAGCTATTTTTGCTAAAGCAATCAATTCGTACTGGAGTAAAAATAAAGATAGTGAAAGTATGACTCAAGGCTATCCTTTTCCCAACTTAAAAAAATACTCAAGCACAATTACTAAAAAGAGGAAAAAAACCAACTAAACAAACAGTACAGAACTACTTATAAGCAAAGACTCTATACAACCACTTACTGAGAGCCGGTATTTCACTTATCAAATACTAGCACCACTTAATTTGACTCCATCAGTCCCCACTGACTGAAGAGCAACAAAACATTTAAGAGATGTGGAGTGTAGCTGTTTTGAGTTTGGACTCTGGATTGTAACTGTCCCTAACCACGTTCTCTCACAGAACAACCTCTGACAATTTATTCTCATCTATTCATTCTCATTCATCTCTATACAAGCTTTTGTGAAAGGAAACTCTTTCATCTCCCTTCCTTAGTTATTAGCTTGTGGCAACAGGAGGAACAATCAGAAGCCATTTTACAGGCTTGACAGAGAAAAATGAAGTGCATTTTTTTGTTGCTGAGCTCTACAAAGGACTGGGACTAAGCACTACCAGAAACATTCTGAACATGCACTGATATAACTATTAAGATAAAATAACTTAAGTCCATCCCCTTACGTGAACCTCAGAACACAGAAAAGGTCTGATCGTTTGTGTTGTCCAACTGTGATATTTCATTTACAAATACAAGGTTTTCAAGCACAGCTGTAAGTCCAGCAAAGAATGAATTTTGGGATGATTCTCTTAATTCAGGACTGTCCTTTCCCTGCCAAGCTACTTAATGTGGAAAGCCTCTGCTTCCCCCTCTGCAGTCCCCACTGCACCCTTTCGTTCTTTACCTTACACTGGCTCTGATGCTCGTCAAATTCTGCTTAATAAATCAATTCTATTCATTAATGTAGCTGAAAATTAGCCCAGCTAAAAGCAGGGCTCTTCTGAGTCAGTGAATGAATCAAACCTGCTCATGGAAAGATGAGGTCCAGGACACACAAAGGAAGAAGTACAGTTATGTGTCTGGGAATAGAGGCTGGCAAGTCCTTCCTTTCTCATTTGATAGCAGCAAGATTTTAGAGCAACTCAGCTTTTAATCAAGTTAAACACTGTCAACAAAAACCTAGGAGAAATTAAAAACTGCAAAGAAGGCAGCGTAAAAACTGATGCAGAGGTTTTACAGTACAGCAGGACATTGATTGAGAAGGTTCCCACCCCATTCTGGGTTTGTGACAAGATATAACTGTTTATGGGGTCACAATGCAAAACATACGAGGAAAACATTTTGGATTTTTAGGTTTGGGGTTTTTTTCAGAGAAATAAAAAGTGGGAGCTTTCTCCCTAACCCATGACTGCACAACTGAGTCAACTGTAACAGAGTTATGAGCAGAATCTCTTGACCACGTTTGGCTGCTCAGGAACTTTGATTTAATTATGGAATTGTTTAAGCTGCTTTACCTTTAGCCTGACAGATCACCACTATATCTCTCAAGGCTCATTTCACGCCCATTCTCTGCTGGTACAAGTATTTATGCTCCCATAGAGCAAAGTAGATCAGAAAATAGATACAAAGAAAATAATACTGGGGAGAGGGAGAGGAGGAGATGGAGTGTTCTTTATATTCATTTCCTGATCCAGCTCACTGTATGTTCACACAAACAGCCGCCACTTGTGTTTGCATCAGTTCAGAGTAAAAATGTTTACTGTCAAACACGACAACTCCTCAGGTTCACACTGCTACCAGTTACTCTCTTTTTTATCATACTAATGGACGTTGTCACAATTTTTACTCAAAGAGCACTTCAATGGGAGCTTAACTGAATTATGTCAGGACTGCCGCAGCCCCACTCCTTCCCTTCTCTTTATTACATAGCTTGATAATTTTGTTGCACCAGCCCTGGTACAGAGTTGAAAGTGCAGAGTTTGGAGGCAGCTCAGTAGCCAGCTCACCACTCAATCCCCCAAGTGCCACTACAGGAGAAGCACAGAGGTGAGGACAGACTGAAGTGCTCACCTGCAGCAATTCCAGCCTAGATTGGCTTTCAGATTATGTTTACACAGATGGATGCAAATAGATCCCAGCTCCTCTACCGACACCCTAATTTGCTGGAAGTGTGCCAATTGCAACTGAGGTGATATAACCAAGTCTAACTGCATGCCCAAGCTAAGACACCTCACCTGTAGGATACTCTCTGAGTACCTAGACTCCTTCAGCCTTGATGTATTTTTTTTCAGTCTTGCTTCATTGTGCAATGGAATCTCCCAGATCCTACGGCACTGATTACCAAGGTGTCTCCACAGCAAGACACACGTGCATTACACTTGCTACTGCCGAAGACACAATGCCAGCCTCCCAGGCAAACATTAAGTCTTTTTATCTAGGTATCATATGTAATGGAAGAGGGCAAAAATATGATGTTCAGGCTGTGCCCATGCCCTCCTATCCCACCAGCTTCACCCCTGTCACAGCATGTTACGCCTCCAGACCCCACCATCCCCTATGCCCTTATTCTGCCCTCATAGGCCCAGATTCAACACACTCCTCGTCATGCTCTTCCCCCCTCAGACATCTGGTTCTCCCCCCAAGACAACCCTCCAACCCTCAAACCAAGCTCCCCCCACTGCCATCCCTCTGTCCCCAGCACCAGACCTCCTCCTCCCCGCAGTGCACCCTTTTTGCTCTTCTGCCCCCTCACCCCAAGGTCAGGCTGCCCCTTGACTTCTCCCCTGCCCTTTCCCTCCCAACACAACCTCCTACCACCCACCCCAGGGCAGACTCCCCTCGCCCTGACACCACTTGTGCCCTTCCCAAACACCCCCAGTGCCCTTCCTGCTCGCCTCAGGCCAGGCTCTAACCTTGTCCTCTATATCCCCCTCTTCCACCCCAGGCCAGGCTCCTTCCTGCCCTGGTATCCTTCACGACTTTCCACCCAAAACCAAGGCCAAGCTCCCCCTTCTCTGACATCCCTCTTGCCCTTGTCCCCCCAGGCCAGCCCCCGCTCTAGGCCGGGCCGCCCTACACACCCACACCCACCAGGTAGAGGGTGCCGTAGATGCGGAGGGACTCAGCCAGGGCGCTCTGTGTGACGTGCAGCACAGCCCAGGAGCACTGCGGGTGCCAGGTGTGCCCGATCTCGTAGCAGCTGTGGGGAATAGACTTACTCAGCGCCGCCATCTTTGCAGCGCGCGCGCGGAGCGGAGCGCAAGGGAGGGGGCGCGCGGCGCGCGCGGCCGCCGCGTCACCGCCGGTGCCGGGGAAGAGGTCGCGCGGGGCGCTGCGCGCGCCGGGGTTACTCGCGGGCACGGCCGCTCTCCCCACAGCCCCCCCCGCGCGCCGCTCGCGTGAGGCCCGCAGCCAATCGGCGGCCGCCGGGGAGCGGCCGAGGGCGGGGGTGGCGCGAGCCGCGGGGGGGCGCGGGGGGGCGCGAGGCCTCCTGCGGGCACCGCATGTCCCCTCGTGTCCCCCGTGTCCCTCTTGTGTCCCTTCTTGTCCCCCTTGTGTCCCCTGTGTCCCGTCACCCCCCCGCGGCACAGGCATTTAGGCGCCCTGTATGTTTCGATAGGCTTCTGCCTATCGAACAGGTCAGAATCGCAGCGGTACCGATTTCGGGATGTCCGTTGCCAGAGTGGCTCGCACGAGTTGGCCGGTTCTCACCGTGCTGCTAAAAGGTTTCGGTGTGTAGGCAAGGAGAATACACGGAGCTCAGCATTAAAGGTCATCACGGGGCTCAAGTATTTTCTTTCTTGCAGTTTTCTCATAGCCTGCAAGGGCAGAAACATCTCCTTCGGCTCGCTCCACCTGTGCAGTCCTATTCCTCCTGTTTTTCATGTCATTCTGCATTTCCTCCTGAGCCCCTGGGTCATGTCAAATACTCTGTTTCCTGTCTTAAATGGTGTGGCCTCCTCACGAATTTAAGGTTTCACTTCTGTGATTAGAATGTTTGCAGGCCGGCTCTAGACTAGAGTTTGATAGACTTCCTGAGAAACAGATTGGCCCTTTGCATGGGTCCTCATGTAGAACTATGTATGAAGTGCAAAGTCTTCACAGAAAGAAACTGCTTAATTATGAAGAGAGAGAGTAATACCAGAAAATTGAAAAAATGCACGCACGTGCGCACGCACACATGCACGCGTGTTCTGCATGTCCCGTGTGCCCCCTGCATCCTGTTACCCCTGCAGGGAATGACCGTAAAGAGAAGCCTCGCGCAGCTCACTCCATGAAGTGGGGCTGGTGGCAGCTCCCAGTGCCACAGCAGCAGCCAAGACCGACGGACAGACAGATGGAGAGGGAGGTGATTAATTAACGTCAGAGAGTTAAGGTTGGAAGGGACTGGAGGTCATCTCATCTAATATCCCTATTTAAGCAGGGTCCCCTAGAGCACATTATTCAGGATTGTGTCCAGGCAGCTTTTGGATGTCTCCAGTGCGGGAAACTCCACAACTTCTCTGGGCAATCTGTTCCGGTGTGTGGTTACCCATACAGTAAAGTTCTTCCTCATGTTCAGGTGGAAATTCCTGTGCATCGGTTTCTGCCTGTTGCCTTCTGTCCTACTGCTTGACACCACAGAGAAGAGCCTAACTTCTTGACAACCTCCCTTCAGATACTTACAGACAATGATGAAGAGCCCTCATTCTTCTCTGGGCTAAACAGCGTCAGCTCCCCCAGCCTTTCCTCATATGAGAGATGCTTCAGTCTCCTAATTACCTTTGGATACGATAGAGTTTCAAACGCAGTGACTGATGACACAGTTACAGCTCAGTTGCAAAATTGGCATCTGGTTCCAGCTAAATTTTGATAATTTAGGGCCTAAATGGGCTGTGTGTATCAGAACCTGGGGATTTTACTTGAGTACTTGTTAAGCAACAGTTTGCAAATGCTCTGTTCTGATGGGGCAAGTACACACACTATCTCCTGTGCCATGGTGAAGTCAGGAAGATATTGTTTCAAAACCTAGGTGAGAGATACATCCTGAGGTCTATAGGAAGATCAGCAAACAAACCTGCAGTCAAATACAGACTTGGAACAGATCCCCCTTACAGCCTGGCTCCAAGTTGTCCTGCTGAGCCTGCTGAGTTCCCTTCCCTGATCAGACTTGAGGCTAGCCTGTAGCACTGCCAAAAATATAGAGCAAATTTGTCACTTATTTTGCAAACTCATTTACCGTTCTTACAAAGGAGCCTGCTGTAGGTGCAAGAACATACTTGCATTTCAGTTTTAGCAGCCTACAGATGTGTAGGTTGGATGGTTCACAGAACTTGGGGCCACTGAGAGACTGTTTGCAGACTCCCAATAAATCTGCAGTAGGAGACTGTTGGCCTAAATACTTCAATTATGCTATTTCAGTCAAGCGTGCTTTAGGTAGAACTCTGCCTATGACAGTCTGTATTTAAAATCTAGTAGAAGACCCTAGAGATAACTTTAAATTCAGCTTTAGTGCTGAGGTACAGCTCCCCTGCAGCTGCGGTTGCGTGGCTGCCTAACGGAATGGATATTGCTGTGTGCTGACCCTCATAGGGAAGCAGCCTTGGCAAGATAACCTGCTACAGCGTTGTCTGGACTTTGGCTGGGACCTTGCTTGCTGGTTTTGTATTAGTCTGTAAAAAAACTGCTTGTGGGCAGAAAAGGCAATTATTGCCTAAGTGACGGATTCTGGCTCTCTTTGCTTGCATGTTTTGGCTTTGATACTACTCTGGACTTAAGGGTTGCTTGCTCCCTTGTAGGCAGGGAGCTGTGGCACGTATGATAGTAATAATTGCACAAGCCAATTATTTCACATCTGACACACGTTTTTGCAGACAGTCCTAATTTTGGGAGGACTTGCCCTGCTCAAGTTAAGGAAAACTCATAAAGAGGGACCCTACAAGATACTTTGTTCATTTGTGCAGCACCGCTGATCTGGCTGAACAGTTGCCTGCTCAGAACTGGAGGCTTTTGTATCTCTCCTTTTGGGTCAGCTGAGGAAGCCTCTGATGATGCGCTGATAAAGAAGGCAGCACAGCCCTGACCTTGCTCCAGGCCCTTTTCCATGGGGTCGCAATACTCTGGGAACAAGCCTTGGGGTTAAAACAGCATGGGAATACTGCTGATGGCCCAATTGGCATTGGATGCCACCCCAGGATACTCTGTCCTGGGAGAAACCTACCCTTGTTGGATCAGGGACAGAATAGTCTTGGAAAAGGATGGAATCTCATTCATTAAAAAAACATTGAGGACCTTTAGTTTTGCCCTGTAAGTACATGAGGTTTTCAGGAACACTCCTTATTGCATGAACAAGGCTCTATACTGGGAATAGCAGAGAGAGTCTATAATGCTACTTAAACACTAGTGGTGAGTCCTGTGGCGTAAAGCCAGGTTATGTGGCACACACTGTCCAGGACTTGCCTTGTAATATTTAGGTGCCTTGGAGAATGCTACTCAGTGTGGTCTCAAAAACAAAGCCAGGAGTGAGCTAATCACTAAGCAATATAAATGGTGGGGGAGTTGAGAGTTCTCAGTTTACTCCCTGGTCCTTGTTGATGTAGCAGTGTCAGATATACCAATGTGTCCAAATAAAAATGTAGGCTGGCAAGAATATCGGATGCATGAGCCTCATTAGACTAGGAGAGCAACAGTATCCCAGGCTCCATGCCTTGTGCCATAGAAGGGACAGACGTGGCAGCTTCTCACTGCACAGAGACTCTCTGTTCCAGTTGCCCACATACCTGTTTGAAGCTGGGTTAACAAAATGCAGCAGAAGTCCCAGGCCAGACTCACTCTTTAGCAAGATACCTTAACTGATGTACAGCACTGCAATCCTTTAGTTTACCTGTACTGATTATATTAGGGAATCAGATGGCTTGTGTAGCAATTGCTAAATGAAGAAAAGTAGGGCCTGTCTTTCTAGGTTTTAGTGGGTCTCACAGTCTGAGAACATTCTCTGCTGCTATCTTCAGCATCTGCTAAGTCTGATATCTGCAAATAATTAACATATCTCAGCCCATGAGAGTAGCTGGAGGTGTGAAGATTTTTCTCTTGCCTTCACATTGAGCAGCTATCAGTGTTAGGAAGTGGTCTAACTGGGAATCCAAAGCAAAGAATTTAACTAATTAAAACAAAATCAGGCAGAAAAAAATAAACTGAGGAAAAAAGTCAACCAGGGAACTTGACATTGCAGGAGGCTTAGCCTTTCAAATGCATCGGGATCTGGGAAATCTTACTTCTAAACATTTTTAAATATCAAAACAATCTGGAAACATTTTAACTTGGAAGAAATGTTAGGATTTGCCCTCTCTGGTCCCTCATGTTGCTTTCCAACTTCTGTGCTTTTTTTTGCTGTGTGTTTGTTTTCTCCCTTGGGACAGGTGATCTGGCTTTTCCCTGCTACTCATGTAGTTTTCAGTGCCTGAACTTTGGTTCTGGAAGTAACTTCTCTTGTCTGATGATAAGAAATGCTCTTTCCAGCAGAAGGGTATTTTGCATTCACTTATTTTCCAGCTTTTCCCATTCTTCCACTCTCATTGTTATTACCCTTCGGTTTGTTCTCCTGCCATCTGTACCATTGTCTCGTGCCTCCATCATAAAGTTTATGAATATGAAATCCAGACCGAAAAATATTCTGCTGCTAAAAAAACTAGGGATTAAATTCATCCTTCTTCATAGTTTAGCGGTAACAATGTGTACATGCGGATATCTACTTCCTTCAGTAAAATGCATAGGAACTTGGAGATGCTGCTCCAATCTCCATTTCTTCTCAAAATCCAGGACAAATAGTAAGTAGAGTATATAGTTAGTTTTGTAGAAATAAACCACAATCTTGTAACATACATCACTAATACATGGAATGGCTGCATTGATAAGAGTGAATGGCCATTAATGGAGCTGATTTACTTTCCTTCAAGGAAAGAAAGACTCTTCAAGAACTACTTTTCACCCTTGTCCCCAAAACTACTTACACTTTAAACTTAACCCATTTTGCATTATTTGAAGAGGGATTCTCTTCTGGCTTGCAACCATGAATGATACTTGTTCATTTTTTAGCAGCGGATAATCTCAAAATACCCTTATGTTTGCTGATATTTCAAGGTAAAGGAATTATCTGGAAGTTTTCCCATTTTCCAGATATAATAATGTCCAAAGTAAATACAGGATGGACTGTGGGATAATATGCTGTGAACCCTTTAATACACACAATAATACCCTCTTGTTTATACAAATGTGGATTTTTTCCAAACATAAATGTTGCAGTC